AGCAGGGGCGGGATTCGCCTGGAGATGCAGTCGCCAGTGAGCCGCCGCGGCCCCCTTGAGGAGTACCGGGAGGAGGTTGATGCGGTAGGCGTCGTCGTTGTCCCGGTGGCAGAGGCGGACAGTGGGCGTCGAAGTGGACCAGAAACTGGTCCCAACGATCGCCCTTAGGATCGCCAGAGAAGGTGGGTAGCGAAGGGACCCCCCGGGGGAGCGGAGGAGAGCCGGGGGGGGGCGGCAGCAGACCCGCGAGGGAAGGCCTCCAGGGCGGATAGCTGGCCCTGAAGGAACACCACCTGGCGAGAGAGCTCGTCGGTGGACGCCGATCCCAGGGATGGCGGGGCAACCTGCGGGAGAGCAGAGAGGGGCGGCACAGCCAAAGCAGCACCCCGGGATCCAAAACCAGCAGGCAGCAAGGCGCCGACCGGGGGACCCAGCTGGCTCCCAAGACCGGAGAGCGCCTCCGATCCCGAGGCGGGTGGGGCCACAGTCAAAGCCGCCACAGAACCCGCCAAGGAGGTGGGAATTGGAGACACAGTACCCCGGGATCCTGAGCCAGCAGGCAGCAGGGAGCCGATCGGGGGATTCAGCTGGTTCCCAAGATGGGAGAATGCCGCCAATCCCGAGGCGGGTGGGGCCACAGCCAAGGCCACCACAGAACCCGCCAAGGAGGAGGGAATTGGAGACAAAGAACCCGAGAGGCCCCCCCCTTCAGCCGCCGAAAGAATGGGCAGCGGGGCGGTAGGGGTGGGGGCCGTGATCGGACCAGAATTCGGCAAGGGGGGCAGGCGGCTGGAGGAACCCACGCCCGCCAACATTTGGCAGATATGCTCCTCCAAAAATGGCAGGAGCTGCCCGGCCAAATCGTGGGCATTAGGCAGTGCAGGTGGCCCCAAAACAGGGGGGCGAGGGGGCCGGTTCGGGCTGCGAGACAGAGCATCGGGCGCCCCAATGGTCGGGCGCACCGGCGGGGGCGTACTCGCCCTAGGAGGGATGGAGGTGGGGGGCAGCTCCCCCCCCACCAATTCGAAAATGGTGCCCCCCTCGGCCGAATGGGCCTGGAGGGGCAAGGCTGCAAGTGTAAACGGCAATCCACTCACCAAGTGAGGGTTCGCAGCTTCAGCTGCCATCCCCTCCCAATGGCTCGGGATCGCGATGACGCCAGCCTTGGTGAGGCCGCAACACCCATTACCAACGTTAAGTACATGTCCAACTTATATGTAGGACAGTAGGTGCCCGAATCGATGCATAGTTTCCAGCCAGAGGCATTCAAGCCTTGGATTACCAGCCTTAGAATCAAGATTGCGACCGTACCCGACATCCCGCGATGTTGTTGCCTATACACCCAGCCAATAATAGGCACACTCAGGCTTGCTGCACAGAGGTACACATCCACCGCACCTACACGTCCATCGTGTTCAAGGCGCCCCTGCCTGCTTTCCGTTTCAGCGTTGGTAGCACTTGAGGACTCTGCGGATACAGTAATATAGGTGGTGAGGGTCGCAGGCAAAATCCCGGAGTGAAGTCAATCCCCGGCCATGATCTTCCCACCCGGCCATGTGCCACCAGGTTTCCAAAGTCCACACATAATCCGCCCCTCCCCGGGGAGAATTTCCCAGTAAAGCAGGCGGCCCAAAGCAGAAGCCCACACTATGCCCACGTATCACTCGCCGGATTGAATCCGCCGACACCCAGGTTTTCAAAGTCCACAGATTATCTGAGACCCCCCCTTTTTAACACCCCCCGCAGCCCGGAATTCCCCGCCAGAGCAGGCGGTACTGAGGGCGTTGCCCTGGCCACGAGGCGCCGTGAAGCGGGACACCGCGGTATGCTTGTGCATCGCTCGGCGGTTTGAATCCGGCCATGCATAGGTTTCCAGTCCACAAATAATCTGAGTTTCCCCAGCACCCCACTCGGCCCGGAATTTCCCACCACAGCAGGCGGTACTAAGGATATTGCCCTGGCCATAAAGCAGGATAGCGCGCTATGCCTGTGCATCACCGGCGGATTGAATCCGGCCACACATAGGTTTTCGGCCAACAGATCATCCGAGACCCCCTCAACCCCCCCCCTGCCCCCACAATTTCCCGCCACGGCAGGCGGTACTGAGGGTATTGCCCTGGCCACAAAGCAGGATAGCGCGCTATGCCTGTGCATCACTGGCGGATTGAATCCGGCCACACATAGGTTTTCGGCCAACAGATCATCTGAGACCCCCCCCCCAAACATCCCCCACGGCCCGGAATTTCCCGCCACAGTAGGCGGTACTGAGGGCATTGCCCTGGCCACAAAACAGAATAGCGCGCTATGCCTGTGCATCACCGGCGGATTGAATCCGGCCACACATAGGTTTTCAGCCAACAGATCATCCGACACCCCCCTTCCCCCACGCGGCCCGGCATTTCCCGCCACTGCAGGTGGTACTAAGGGCATTCCTTTGCCTTGCCCATGTTGCGGCTTGAAGCAGGAGAGCGCGGTATGCCTCACCTGGTGGGTCCATGAACCAAGCGTGGGGTGGTAGGGGTTGGAGACGGCGGATGGCAACAAGAGGGCAACAAAATATGTGTGCAGTCACAGCCAAGGTCCGTTGTATGTGGACCTTGGCTGAGCCACGCTGGCAATCAACCAGATCCCCAGATTCGGAAATCAGTACTTACTGCATGGGCTCTGCTGTCATCCGTTTATTCAGTACACACGTCCGCTGTCATCCGCTAAATTAGCGGATGGGGTACATGGCTTCCGGTCTGTAAGAGAATATCCGTTAACACCCTAGCGGAATCCGCAAAGTCCGCTAATTGGGGCCAGCTGTCCGCTGCCATCCATACCACGTCAGCAACAGAGAAGTGGGGTCCGCTAAATTAACGGATATTAATGGACGGCAACCCCCGTCCGCTATTAACGGATCCGGGTGGCCACCTCTGATCTGAAATGCTGTCGCCGGCTGGGGATCCCAAGGGTGCGCCAGTGAGCAGTAGGGTGGGGGTTGCATCTGCGCCAGTGGTGACACCTAGGGGCCCGTTGACGGCATCGGGGGCCGCATCTGGAAGCGGTGGTGGGTTGAAGCGCGTGGCCGGCGGCTAGGGCAGGAATGCACCACCTGTGGCAAAGCGGGCCCGAATGGAGGGAGGGGGTGGAGTGGGGGCCGCCTCTGGCACCAACAGATGTATGTTGCCTATGCGTTGGGCAATGTGCATGCCGTCTTTGTTGCAAGCCATGTGTTCTGTGTGAAATATGTCTCCTGGGCCTGAATCCGGCCTTATAATTGCCTCCCAAACTTGCACTGGTCTGCCAATGGGCCCCCCTCAACTCGTAAAACCTGGAATTCGCATGGTCCGTTCCTAGGGAATGGACTAGAAAGGACCTAAACAGATAAGGACGGGGCTGTTCCATGTCAAAAATGGATTTGTTCCTGACCAGGAACGGACCCGTTCTTGAGCCGGGATGCATCCGTCCCTGAACAGGAACATATCCATTCCAACACCATTCCGGCCTAACCCAAATCTAGTCCAAATCCGTTCCTGGGGAATGGCCCAAGAACGGAGTGGAACAGACTGGGACAGAATGGGATGGTAACGGGAACGGGTCTGCTCCTAGGACGGGAACGGACACTGTCCCCGTTCCCGTTCCAACTCCATCTGGCCGGGCCCAACTCTGCCCGTGCCACGGGCCCCACACCCCGTGGGTACACTCAATGGCACCCCCGAGTGCCATCAATCTACCTTGACCCGGACGCTAGGCATTGCCAGCTACCAACCCTAAAGGGCAAGGGGGAGGCTCACATAGAATACTCGTTCGTGACAATGATTTGTATCGGCCCTCGATTCTACAACAATATGCACGTTGAAAAAATGGCCGCCGCCGCATTAATGTATTAATCGAGTTCCCGGTATTGGGAACCCCTCCCTATCCCTCCATTCCGCCGGTTGCAAGGAACCAAGGCAGGCAGTGCCCACTTTGCTGTGCATAAATAGAGATCCGCTGCTGAAGGCATACCTCCCTTGGCCCCCAGGCCTGGGCCCCACAACAACCCAGGCCCCACAGCGGATGAACCAAACGTGCCGTCCTCCTGTCCGTGATAAGCCAAGTTCATGGAAATGGTCGGCTGCCGCGGTATCCATTCATCGGACACCTCCCTTGGGTGTCCACAATGTTAGTTTGAGGTCCCACTGCACAGCGAATGTGCATAAAGTACTACAGAACTGGTGACAACCAGAAAGGGGGCGCTATTGGGAGCCAGGGGCACTATTATAGGGACCCCTACCATAGCCGAATAGCACCGCCGGGACAACAACAGCCACCGATAAAGATGCTCTAAGAGCATCTTTATCGGTGGGTGCTATTGTTCCGGCGGAGCTATTCAGGAACGGTTCTCATTGGTTGCCGTGCCACCTTACTAAGGTGGCATGTGCCAAATAGCACCGGTGCTATTGGGGAGCAATAGCACCGGGCGTGCATCCGTAACGGTGGATACCTTGGGGAGCAATAGCACCCCGTGGGCATCCGTAACGGGGGGGTGCTATTTGCATGGTTCGGCTGTCCCCAAGGCCCTTCCGCTGTACTAAGGCCCCTCCGCGTTGTTCCAAGCAGCCGCCGCCAAGTGCTGCGCGAATACCACCGGTGCTATTCTGGGGAGCTATTCGGTCTCGAGCGGAGCTATTCTGGCCCCGAATAGCTCCGCTGGGCGCCGAATAGCTCCAAGGGAGCTATTGGGGAGTTATTGCTCCCCAACCGTTAATGATGGTTTTTTGACGTGCAGAGCTATTCGGATAGCCGAATAGCTCCGCCGGAACAATAGCGCCGACCGATAAAGATGCTCTAAGCGTAACAAAATCGACATAGCGCCTTCCCTCATGAATGACCACCTTGTATCGAGGGCGCTGACTGTGTGTGTGCGTGTGCACGCTGATGTGGATCTAATCTCGGTGTCTACTTAAGTTAACCAACCACGGAACGCTCGCCCACAGGCTGGCTGGGCCAACTGCTTAACGCGGCTTGCCTGCGCCATGACGACCACACTCAAGGCGGCGGTCTCTGGAGTCACCGCGTTGCAGCGCGCCAGTCCTGTCCTCAGGTGTCCTTGGTTGGTCGTGCCTCAGAACATCCATCGAATGGATCACTCACCGCAGCTTTGGGCCAGCTTTCACGTGTTCGTTTTTCTTGGGCAGGCCTCCTGGCCATTCGAGGGCCGTGGTCGTCGCCAGGGCTCAAAAGGTACGAATCATGAAAGCTATTTGCCTGGCCCTCTAAAATTCTAAGTCTACCGTGTCGGGTGCACTTGGCATTTCGCCATTTGGTGCCCTGGGAAGCGGAGAATGCCACAAGACGGATCCGGTCCGGGTGGCTCTTCTTGAGAAGCTAGCGGCCGACCGTGGCGCTTGTGGTCAGGTTGGAAGCGTTTTTGCGAACTGCTGACGTGCCTGTGATGAAGTCCGATTGTTTTGTAATTCCGCGCTGTTCCAGGAGGATGTGTCTCGACGGGAGGCCGTGATCGGCGTGGCGGCCGCGTCAGGCCTCCTGATCGCCTCTCCAGCACTTGCTTTCGAGTTTGGTGAAGGAGCTGCCAAGATCTACGAAAGAGAAACCGTGCGTGAAGCTCTTGAGCGCCTGTTGGGCAACGGCTGGAGTTCGTTGCCGTGCTGACTGAAAGCTGTTGATTTGCCCCCGAATTCGGAGAAATGAGAGCTGGTGGTTTATTTGAGTCAATGAATTGGTCTTGTTGTTGGTCAGTTTGGAGCGCAAGCCTCACCTGTGCTGTTTCTGGCGGCCTTCAGGACAGAATGAAAGGGTTAACAAGAGATGAAATACCACGCCCATCGAGTTTGTCACATTGTACATGGTGTGTCATGTTGTTGTGGGGACACATGTTTAGTGAGCAGAGCGCACGTTACCTGTGAGGGATGGCATCGGAGTGGCTGTGATGACACTTATCCGCGCTTCTGAACAATGCGCGTGATCCATTGTTCATGCGTGTGAAGAATAATACAAAATGTTGACCTGAGCCATTTCTGATGAGGAACAATGTGCACAATGGAGAAAGGCAGTGGTGGAGTAGATAGTCCATCAGCTGGCAGCAGTTGGTGATATGTTCTTGGGCAAGGAAACCAAAACGGTTGTGCTGATTACATTTGTCTTTGGTCATTGCAAACAAAGCCTTGCAGCTTGCAGGCGATGATGGGCACTGAAATGTCTCATCAATCTCTGCTCTAGCTCCCCTGATCATCGTGGTGCACACTGCTTCAATGAGTTGTGTTTGCTGTTGGATTTTTGCATGTGTCAGTTCCTAAATGCCTATTCCTATGTGATGTGTGTGCTCTTAATATAGGTTGTAAAATGCATTTTACACAGCACTTTTGCACTTGGCAACAACTGCTGGAGGGTAGGGATCCCCGGTCGACTATGGAACAAGTAGCAAGGAAAATGGGTACAAGTAAAATTTTTGTTTTGTATGACTGTTGCAGCTGGAAAATTTCAGCATTGTTTTGAGTCCAGCCAAGCCAATGGTCTGGGGATTGCCACATGCTTGTGACTGCTGCTTCTGTGTTTGCAGTCAACTGTCATCGAAGCTGTGGAGAAAGTTCTGACAGTTGAAGATGCTGCAGAAAAAGAAGCTGCCATCGCTGACGTTCGCCTAAAGACTAACTCCTGGGTCGCCAAGTACAGGAGAGATCAGCAATTTGCAGGCAGGCCTTCGTACAGGTGTGTAGTGAGCATCGGTACATGCAGAAGAAGCATGTGTTTTAATACTGAGCGCTTTAAGCGCACATCAGCCTGGGTGAGCGAACTGTGCATGATCGATTGCATGCTAATTTTGGATCCCAAATGGGGAACCGTTCCTGCTGAGATCTTGGGTCCATGTTGACTAGAATACAAGGCTCCCTACCCATCTGCCACTCCCACATGCGTTTGTTCTGGCAACTGGCGGATGTATGGAAGCAGCTGATGGCAATGTGCAGTTGTGTGGTTGGGGGGCAGTGCCCAAAGCTTGCTATTGCACTGGTGGACACTAGATTACACATCGGTTGCTGCCACCAACGTTGGTTTACCTCTGCGTGTGCATACATGCGCACGCAACACGACTCCATTCTGGTATTGTATGGTTTGATGCGTCCGTCTGCTGGTGGAGTTGGGCATGATGCGGGTTCAGGTTGACGGCTATGTTTGGTGTTGTTCCTCCTGTAGAATGCACCCTGTCTAATGGTGTTTTGTTTTTCTTTGCAGCAACATGTACTCTGCACTGAATGCACTTGCCGGCCATTATAACAGCTTTGGGCCTGATGCTCCGATCCCTAAAAAGAGACTGGAACGTGTGACGAAGGTGAGCTGCTGAGACTGCAGTGACGGTGACTGCTGACCACAGGTGTCTGCTTTGTGGATTGGCACATGCATGTGGTCCAAAGAAAGGAGGCTTGTTCCATTCATGTTCGCTGCTTGCATGATCACTCACACGTCTATATTGCCTGTGGGCCTTTGTGCATCGTTGGTTGCATATTGCTCTTGCTGCTTGGCTTTGCTGAATAATTTGAAAGTTGCCCGGTCCTGTGTCCATTGCTCAGGAAGTGGATGACGCCAAGAAATTTTTGTCAAGGGGCCGGTAGACTTGCCCTCCTGCACATGGCTGAAAATTGAATCGTCTTGTGAGTGCCCAAGACGGGGGTTTGGGAACTCAATACCTCAGACGACGACGTTCCGCTCAAAGGATGAAGCTTGTGTAGACTAGGAGCTGTGTGTCTTTCTTCCCGTCACTGTATCAATTGGGTGCATGATTCTTGTTTCAGTTGCTGCGTTGCTCAGCCTGTGGTCTCCGGCTCCAGTTTTGTGCGACTCGTCTGGAATTCTTCGTTTGGGATTTTTTCCATGGTCAACACATTTATGCAAGGTATTCCACATGAGCGACAACAGACAAGTCTCTATGAGGGTGCCCACTGGCCAGCGAGAACAGCAGCTTTACATTTCATGCAGCACATTTGTATGTCCGTATGGGACTGTAGATTGCGCACTAAAGTGTGCAATATTGCCACAGTGCGATTCAGGTAGGAAACGGGTCACAACAGTTCAAGTACTCTTGGCCCCTCATCTAGCTACTCGCATGGTTTGATGCATCGTGGGGAGACTACCACCAATACCGTCTCACAGCATTCTGCCATGTAGCATGATGGTCTTTATCAAACCATCAGGCTGTGCACATCGTTTGTATGCCACTGGAAAGGACTCTGTTACCAATGCTACCTTTGTCCATTGCTACCTTGTCCATAAATCGAAACTGCTACACCAGGGGGTGCCCAGGTTGTGAGGGGGCCACTGGATAAAAATAAAGGGACTGAAAGGCCAGGGACAAGAGTGATGAGTGACAGGGGTTTGTTTTGTCGATATACTGTCAACGCTTGCAGCATCTACCACAAGAACAATGTCAACAAAGTGATAATACACCCGAGAAAGTGTTCCCAAAACTGATAACGACGAACAGCTGCGAGGCATTGATGTGGTCCTCAATGAGGGGCATGCTGGCAGCCTCATGACAATTTGAACGAGGCGGCAGTCCTCCTGAGGATGGCTTCGTCTCGCTGCCACAGCTCCTCTGGGCATTGTGCATTCAGGGTGTAGAGCACGCCGTTTCTGCGGCACAAGAACAACATTGCTCAACCGTGTCTCACTGGAAAACTTGTGCAAGTAGTCAATGTCGTTGCCACAGAGTCGCTGTAGTATATTAAACCCTTCTGCATAGTAACATAACGTTGGGCCCTTTTTCGTGGAGTCGATGAATAAAAAAGTAACGGTGCCGGAGCGAAGATGTGGAGCAGCCAAATTTAGTAACGGCAGAGGCGCGCCCTCGTAATGGAGCCCCCGATCGGCAGGCAGGCAGGCGTGCCCGCCGCTTGTCATCCCAGCGGCTCGGGCCTTGAACGTTGGGAAGCGATCGCAGGGGAGCGTGGGCGCTGACGCCGAAGGTGCCAACACGGAATGGCATGGGTATGGGGTGTGTGTGGGGGGGGTGTCGGCGGGCACTTGCACCCTGACCACCCTGGCCAGGGGGAGAGAGGGGGGTCAGACGGGGAGGAGCTGCGGGGGCGCCAAAGGGCGGGGGGCCGCCATCCTCAACGGGCACAACGCGGCAAGGGAAACGGCTTCGCGGACTAGCTTCGCGGGGGGCGCGATCGATCCCCAAAGTTGGGTGGTTGCACGGTGCACGCATGTGCGAGGCTTGGGATTGGTCCGTTGCACCTGAGACTTGGGATACAGTCTCCAGAGCCCCCTCAGATCCCACGCAACACGATGCGGAGCAAAAAAGAAAATAACGTAATGGTCTAGGACGAAAATGCGGAGCAAAAATGTAACGGTCGGGATGGACCGATGCGCAAGGGTTTAATATACTACGGTAACAATATGAAAGAATCATACTGAAATGCCAATGCACCAGCCTAAGTGCAACCTTCATTATGCCGCAAAAGGTTCCCCACACCAACACGTTCAGATGTGCAAATTCACTACATCCCCACTTGGTTGCAGCTCCAAACTCGAGGGCTTAGAGCAATGGCACATACTAGGGTCCCATGGGCCCCAGAGTAATCCATTTTGCCTTGAAGGGTCGTACAAGTCCCATGATCCCTAAAGTAGCGTTTGTGCATCAACCCAACATCACAATTGCTATAGAACAACTGTGCATTGTTCCGTGGTGCCTTTTCGGCTACCCAGCACTGGATCAATAAGATGGTTCCATCAAGCATCGCTGCTATTTCGGGGGTAATCCCGAACTTATATCAAAAAGGATACAGGAAGGAAAAAAACAAAAGAAAAAATCTAGGAACGGACCGCAACATTGAGCCCTTGACTATGCCAATTTGTCAAAGGCTCCAAGATGTATTGCTCAATTCATACGAATGGGTCGTTCGATTCCCCCTCGTTATTCCTTTTGAAAAAGACCAACGACTCTAGTCCGACTTTGCGATGGAATGTCGGATCAGAGCGTTTTGGTTTGGCTGCTACTTCAAGTTTCTCATGAAACGCGTCTGGCATGCACTTGTTTGGGATGGTTGGGAGGTTAGACTCGGTGACGGACTCTGCTTGCATATTTGTGTGTCGGATGTTCTGCATGAATTCATGGTGATGAAACGAATAAGATCCACATTTTGCATATTCAAGTGACCGGTTTCTGACGATTTGACAGGTGTTCAGTAACGGCTATTGAGGCTGATGGTTTCTGTCCCTTGGCTAGTATCACACTTTGTTCGCAACACCTTATAATGACCGCCATTTCACTGGGTGGATCACTTATGCATTATGGTGTGCGACTTGTATGCACTTCAAGAATATGGTTTACATGCAAGGCATTCTGAATACACAAAAAGAAAAGAAAGATGTGTTTTATAATTCACAGAATTATTTCTCTCATGATGGGACTTTTGTGGGCATGAATTTTAGTGCTATGGGAGATGCCATCCAATTCAGAGATAACTACTATGGTTGGAGTTGCACTCACAATTGAAATATTTCTATATTACCTTTGGGCACCTTTAGCATATGTTTTATGAAGTGGGTTGCATTGTGGCGATGAGTGGGCATCTTTGAAGTGTCATATGGCTGGTTTGTGGTGGATGATGGTCTTTGTCATGTGAAAAGAAGAGTTCTGTGGGTACAAAGACATTCGAACTGTTCGATTGTGGGGTCGTTGCCACCGTCGGCAAGGCTCTTCGTCGTGGGAAGGGTGAATAAATATATGCAAGCCCTGGGCGTTTTCTGTGTGGTGTGGCCTTTCGTCTGGACGTGTGCCAACGCCATTGAAGCATCGGTGATCGTGGATTCGTGCTTCCCGTGTGCACTCCAAAGTGGGCTGTTTGAATTGCATCGATGGCCTTTCTTTCAAGAACTTGGCATTCTGTCATGTGACGGTCAGCCAATTTTGTGCGTTGCTGCCCGAGGGGTACTAAAGCCTGTGAGCGTGCAACTCGTTATGAGTAGGAGCATGGCCGGCTGTTGTATTCGATTGATGGGCTGATGTGATGGGTGCCGTTCCTGATTGGAGAGTTTAGGCAATAGATAAGAGACTCTTCACACTGTTCGATCTTCTCAGGTTTCCAAACATGACAATACTGAACGAGCCCACTAACAACCATAAAAGGAGGCGACGAATTTTGTTGGCGCACGCTTCCAAGGCCGTTGCGAGCCTGTGAAGCGCAACAACTTGTGCAAGGTGTTCTGACCGCTTTTTTGCAAACCCTGTGCATGGGTTCGCTAACCAACGACTGAATTGCAGCTGGTCTGACAGGGCTAGAGTTGTGGACTCAAAGTTTGCTTCGTGTTTCTAAACCCACCCCCTCTCGCTTGTTTGGACATAGTGCTTCACACTCTTTCTTTCAAAGCCAGTCTCTTTGTTGAGCAATGTGCACTCCACAAAAGCAAACGTTCCTAGCGCTATTGAACTCGCATGGAGCATGCACTCCCACAGTGCAGGCATTAAGGTGACATCAAACTACGTTGGTACAGACAAGTGAAACGTCAATCCTTGGGAATAGGTGACCAGTCGTGATGGAATTTCGACATCATTGGGCCCACCGCGTGGCATCTGCATATGTGCTGTCGCAACATATGCCAAGGCGTCCCAAGGGTCGCCACTCACCGCACAGCATACACAGACAAGTTGTGCCGCAACCAAGATGATGTCTTCACTGTGTACTCCAAACTGTAGTACAAATTCTGGTCATCATCAATCCTGTTGCGCCACACAAAGTGATTCTGAGCAGGGAGAGCCAATTACCTCAATCTTAAACATCCCTAGCTGCAAATCCTGAAGCTTCGGAATCACAGAGAGACACCAAACAACACAACATGCCCAAATCGCTGCCTTCAACCAGAACTTCTTCCCACATGGCTTTGCGCACCTGGAATCTGCGGCGATCAGCGTTGCAAGCTTTCCAGACCCTTCGGGGGCAATCACACTGTCCAACAAGCTCTTACCAGCTTGTGAGGGTGTCCCGAAATCCGCAAGGTCGAATCGGGTGGCGCCTGTTGGGGCTACTACGGCACTTACATTCTCTTCGCCACTGCAGACACAGAATGACAGGATGCGTTGGCCTGCAAGAATGGGAGCATAGCCGAACATTGTGCGCGTCCAGACCAACAGTTCATGAGATGCATGCGCTCACCTGCTGAAATATTGAAATATTGTGAACAGCAAACGCAGAACTGGTGTGGGCACCTTCCACTACAAGCAGGAGGCCATGCTGGGACGACAGGCCAGCTTGAGCTTACCAGCCAATGGCCATGCTGCCACTCAACATGGCATACTCCATCCGATGCAAACACATATCACTCACCCCTCGTCTTCCAAAATTTACCAATAGTGTGGAGAGTAAATTGCCAAATGGTTAAAAGCAAACCGAAATTGGGTGCATTCAAATGAACGACGCTGTACAGATGGCTGCTGCAGCGTGGGTGGCATTTGGTTTGTGCCTCAAGGTACAGCTTAATTTGCTTAAACAAAGAGAGCGAAAGTGATTCATCTGCATTGCCAACTTCGCTGCAGAAAATGTGCACTGCCACGGGGTCCATTCACACTCAGAACGAACGTTAGTACAGCAGCCAAACGCTGCAATTGCCGCCTAAATCCTCTGTTAGCTAACCTGTTCAGCTACGCTTTCAGTTACTTGTTTGATCACTAATCATTGACGACATCAATGGATTGCCAAATATCACAAACAATCTGCGACAATGTCATATCCAGGGACTAACTGGCTACATGCATAAATTCAATAACACACCCCCTGTTTCCATATGCAGCAGAGAGATCCCACCTACGTTGTGCCTGGTGGACCAAAAGCAAGAACTGGCTCTGTGGATGGCGTCCTAGTTCTTGCTTGCAACGAAGGCAAATCTAATGGATTCTCAGCTTCGATGCGCGCTGCATCTCTCCGAGCGAGTCTTTGATCCGCCAGCCAACTTGCAGGGTATTGAAATTCTGCAGTGCCCACATGCAACACAATCCATACAGCAACTTGAAAGGCGAAATTGCAGAAAGCAGGGCCATGACATACAGTCAGGATGCCTTTGTGCTGCTCGCTGTCATAAAACAATTGCATCGATTGCCACAAAAGAAGTGCAATTCCAAAGGAACATCAATGCGTAGGCCCATACAGCCACCCCTACCACACACCAAAGCATATCTAAATTCTCTGCACAGTATTTTCAGCTCTGAAGGGCATATTCAGGCGGCTGCATAGGCATCGACAACATATCCGGCATTGGTATAGCGCGATTCTGTGCTGAGGGCTCATTCAACAATACACCAAACACACTTACCAAAACCATTTTTCTGATCCACACATCTCATGAGTCCCCTGATAGGCACCACGACGTCCAATTTCAGGGCACCGGCAAGCGCTCCACCATCAAGGCTCAGAAGCAAGCTGCTGATGCCCCCCAGGTTGCCTCCCAGCGCTGCAGGTAAGCATAGTACACAAATTTTCAGGCACAGGTTATGAATTGCAGGTGGCACCAGGGTCAGGAGCATGGTTGGCACACGAGGATGGTTGTTTGGTGGACTGCACAATTGGTAGTTGGACAGCTTGGACTGGCAATCGGAATCTTCAGTGCATGCATGGCAATGCCGTGCAGTGGGGGCCCCATGCATTAGTCTTCGAACCCGCGAGCACTAAAGAAATATGCCACAAACCCTGGGAAACACCTTCCTGAGTCCTGATAGCCCTGTGCAGGCTTTGAATCAAGTATAGTTCACTTGCACAATACACTCGTTGATACCCTGTGATAAGCTTCACCCATCATCGCACACGACTCAACACCCAGATCAAAAGAGAGCACCCCAACCAAATGAGTACCCTTGCCCCTACTGCAATTGCCCACCTCTACTGTGCTTGTTAGCAACAACTATTTGAGCATGCAGTCCTACACACCTAGTTGAGTGGGCATATTGCTACCAGCAATTTGCTAGATCCCCAGGCCGTCTTCCATGATGCTCACCTGTACAGAGTCATCATGAGTGCGCCATACAGCATCAGCTACATGTCCAAGAACAGGCATTTGACACCAACAAGACAAGCTATAAACACTGTGAGTGTGTCCCAAAAGCGCTGCCTAAATGTATTCCACCATTCCGCGATTCCACCCCTGCAATTTTGTCTCTTGTTGTTATTATCACTCTCAGGGCATGTGAACCACAAAGACCTGTGCGCATTAGTATTTCAGAAACATCTGCCTCTGTGATCAAGTGTTGACTTGGCTGTATAACAGGTGCTGTGAAGATTTGGAGTCTGTGCCTTGGAGGTATTGCCAGATATTTTCTTCGTGCTCGCTGACCACCACAGCTTTCATCATTGCTCACTTCTTGACTGCGATTTTATGAATGTGTTGCAGTCTACACTATTTGGGGATCAGGATAAGCCATAGTTCAGTTCATCCACAGTACCACCTTATGTATCGCAGCTCTGTGCTGTTGAATGATAACATTGGCACCGGCAGCAGACTGAGCACTGTGTGTATGACTCATATACAAACAAGCATATATGGCACGTTCAAAACCTCCAAAAGCAAAGGATTGTCAACTCATCCCACTTGGAGTCAAGCAATTCGTCCGATCCACAAGGATCAGTCACGCATTTTTCTGTTCCTTCATGTGCTGACGGTCTTCTGCTATTCAAACTACCAGGCAGCAAGGGCCCCCAAGGGCCATATAGGCCAAGTTGCATTACGACAGCAGACAGCAGGCTGGCATGTTTACGAGTTTCACAGCACAGGGACGTCCCGGGTGCCCACCAATAGCAACAGCAAGGAGGCTGCCTTGTATGGCCCGTCTCCTGCTGGGAAGTGTACCGCCCCATCTAATGAGCTCCACCGCATCAAGCGGCTCAGGGGATGCATCTGCAACACAATGCACCAATGAACAAACCAAAGGCAGCCATCCTTACCCACCCAGCTCCCTTGTATTTCTTTGCACCAATCCCAGACCAGAATTCGCAGGACTGAACGCCAAAACAGACCTTGTGGAAGCACCTTTGTCGGTTTAGTGGCAAACATAGCAATAAAAAGGAGAAACGTGGAGAAACAACTACAAGGGCGATTGCCCTAACAGGCATAAAGAGCCCGAACAATAACGTCCAGTTGAGAGGAAGGTAGATGCAACCATGGGGACTGCGTGTGGCAATGTTTGTTGGAATGCGGGGGCGACCAGCCCGCTTATCAATTGCTGTGATGAATGGGGTCAGGCACAAACATTATCCCAAGCGAATCAATCCATGGCAGTACTTAGTTAGGGAGAGTCGATGTGTCGCGTGCTGCCCGTTTCAGACAATAAGCGCCAGGGCCTACAGCACCTTTTTGTTCTGTTGTCGCAGGATCGTCGTTTGTGTTGGGGGGAAGCGCGGCAGATGCCGCCCGGCGCCATCCGCCTTGCGCAATTTGGAAACGCGGCAGCTTGGGCTTGGAGCGGTGCTGCCAGCACTCCCTTTTGGCTGGCACCTGGGAGACGATAAGCGCCATCTCAGGGCGCACAATGGAGAACGCCGTGCGCCAGGCCGGCTGCGGTTGCGCCCGGCGTGGGGCAATGACGCGCAGTCCACACTGTGGATGAGTTTCTGGCACTGGTGTGTGTGGCCATTTTCGGGTCAGGATTATGACCCACTAAGAGCGGACCTAAGGGTCCAAGCATGTCAGTCAGCCCCAAAGGCGACGCCATTGAGTGACAGGCTTTGCCATCAGCAGGCCTGGCACTCTGGCCCCGCGCGTTGGACATTCACTTTAGTCGTTTCCAGTGCTCCGAGTGCTGCGCAGCGACAAACATGGTGCTCAACACGGAGTCAATCGGTCTCCGGGCTGAGCCATTCTTCGTACACGCGAGGCTAAAAAATGGCAGTGCTGGCCCAGGACAATGCTTTCGGTTGGCAAGTTTGTGCCGCTATCATGCCAGGCTGCCAGTTGGACGGCCCACGGGCTTGTCGTACACAGGCTGGTCGGAGGTCCTGCAAACCGGGGCTGGCCGCCCTTTGCCCGAGTAGCGAGGCGTGCACTCCAGCCGACTCCGCCCAAGCCCAAAACAGGTTGCCTGATGGCTGCTTCAGCGCAGCGCCAGCATATATTTTTGCATTCTTGCCTGCATATAGTTCATGCTGCTGACGTCGCACAACGGGACCTGGACGCCATCAGCGAGCCGCCTCCGTCGCCAGGAGTGATGCCGGGCCGTGTCATCCTGGACCGGACTTAACCAACGCTTGTAAGGGACGTTGTCGCAATAATGGAGCAATGAGCCAGTTAACAGACAGTTTCAGTGTATCCGATATAGCAAAGTTGGGCGGGAAAACAGGATGCACATATCCAAAGGACGGGAGTGGCAGATTGCTGGGATTTACGATTCGAAGGACAAGCATTCGGAGTCGTGAACCTGGCGGTATTGGCAATCCCAAATCAAACGCTTTAAATATGCGGCACACGACTGTTCCCCGCTGGGCAAAGCCGTAGTGGCCGCCTCCGGCACAGAGGATTCTAACCAAGGGCCGTGTTCCCAGAATGAATCGCCCCTCCTGGAATTCTATTCCCTCTCACGTGGCCAATGACGTTCCCTCTTTATACGAGACCCTCTGTGCGACTTTCTTGGTCGAATGTGTCTCAGTCGCGTGCACAATCACCCACTGTTGGCACTTGCCTAACCCTCGACGATCATTTGTAATAGCGACGATCATTTGCAACACCCACAACAATAGCACCGCCAGACAGTGTGGCATGGCATGGTCTACGGCAGCATTTAAACGAATATTCGACAAAGGAAAGAAGATGGGGTGAACAGCGCGCTTTGGGGGGTCGGAAGCCCAAACAGTGATTTAAGCAACAAGCGTGCAATGTGCGTGAGATGCTGTGGAGTAGAGGTCCCGTGCCCATTCAATCTGTACCCTGCAGCGTCGGACGTCCAGGACAGTGCCACCGAGCGGCCAGTCACACGCCCATTGTGTGATAAGTTGTGTACAGCATTTTGTACAACATAGAGAATGGAAAAGACCCGTTCAAGAAAGACTTTACTGACGTGTAGGCGTATTTGCTTCTTCACCAGATTGCTGACACGAGGTGCATGCCCAGTTGACAACACAAAGACGCACTGACAACCCACTGCTGCCCCGGCGGGTCCAAGGCACACACTCCCACACACCCACACACCCCAGCTTGGGACTGCTGCGAACGCAGGTCCATTGCCTCGCTCCAGCCCACCCCCATGCCGTTTTTCCTGCTCTCAATCAAGGCCAACCTCGAGAACGTGGCCAGTCTTTCCGCGCCGCCCGGCTTCCAGTTCTGCCTGACCGTCAAGAATCCTCAGGGGGAGGACACACGGGAGGGCATCTGGGTGTCGGCGGCCGACGAGTTCCCCATTTCTGGGTCGCGAGGCACGGCCAACTACGTCATGCGATGGGTGAAGGGAGTGGGGAAGGAGGCCTCCATGAACGTCACAGAGGTGTGAAGAAACAGGCCAATCACCCCCCTGGCATTCGGCAACCCAATTTGGGTAAACAAGTCGTCAACTGAGCGCCGCTTGGCCACCCAGAGTTGTGAGGCCGACACCGGTCCTCTTTGTGTGTTAGGTGAAGGGCGTCACACACCCAGAGTACACCGGCGACGACAGCGATCAGTTCGTGCCCATAGTGGCGTTTGAGTGCAGGGGTCTGGACCCCATCGAGCTGAAGCCCACTGGGGGATGGAGGGTGGAGAGCACCAGCGGGAAGGTGTTTGATGACGTGGACTTGTCGGAAGGCGACTGGGCGGAGTATGACGAGGATGCGGGCGAGACGGTGGGGGTCTACGAATTCACTGCACGCTTCGACGTGCACAAAGGGAAGTGAGGAACAGCGCGGGGCTTTGGATTGCTGCCCCTGTTCATGCTGGCATCACGGCAACATTCCATTTTAAGAAGGAAGATAGGTGCTAGGGATGCACGTTGTTGACACACGGCCGTTGGTGATCTACTGGCCAAAGCCCTTTGTGGCAGGGGTGAAGTTTTCTTGTTGAAAAAATGCCACTTTGCTGTCACACCAGGCAAAGTGGTTGGTGTGAATCCACGCCAAGCACTACTTTATCTATAGTGGTGCTAAGATCACACACAACCAGGCATAAGACATGTGGGCAAGATAAAATGGACATACCCATGATGGTGCCACAATGGTGGCAGTGCATACAGCCCACACACCCAAATTCCCATTGCGGCCACAATGTTTGAAATAACGCGGTGCTTGAGAACAGCATTTGCTGCTGCAGTACATGTTCACACATCTCCAAATTATACTGTTGTACAAAACACTTGTCCATTCACTATTTCCTTCTTGGACCCCAGCCTGCAGTACCCGGTGCCATAATGGTCCCCTGGTAGGAATCCGATCGTGCAACACACGCAGGAGCCAGGTTCAATACCCGGCAAGCCCACCAAGAATGTAGAGGAGCCCAAAGCGGAGAGTGCAGGCCTGCCCAATGCAGATGCTGTGTGCCTACATTTTGCCCCCCTACACTCTCAGCTGGACCGCAGTTTCTTCTCAGCTGGGCTAGTGCTGACAATGGGCTGACCACCCTTGGGACTCTGCAACTCTTTCAGCCTCTTCCTCCTCTCTGGGCTGGAAGCCAGGTTCTGGTCTACCTTGGCACCATTGCCTTCTCGGGCAATGTTCTGTTCCTCCCTACATCTACTGTTCCCAACTTGGGCTGCTGAGGAGCCTGATCTATCCATACTGTTTAAAACCCTAGTACTTGTGCCAACACTATTTTGATGCCCAGTTGTCTCACCATCCCGTGATGTGCCCTGGCAACGTGGCAGTTCAGCAGGCTGCACAACATGCTCCCTGTGCATGACAGAATATTCTTGTTTAATGTGACTGTTGGCAGCGACTTCTGACACTGGCAACGCCATGTGTTCACAAGCACCATTGGTTATTGACCGCAGGGCATCCCTTGCTCTCAGCAGATCCACATCGGGCACTTGGATGCACAGCACTTTCGATGAGTTCTTGCACGGGCACGTTGCCTCCAGGAAGTGCTCCAGGCACAGAGTACCAGCCACCTCCTTCCTGCAGGGACACAGCAGCTACCCTAGTTTACGACAGAGTTCAGAAGAGGAGAGTAGTCTGAGGCTATGAATGGTGCTTGCATCAATATTGACACACATTGGAGCTTGCCAATCTTGTTATGTTGCACTGAAACATGTCCCGAGCTGAGCGAACCCAGCTGGAAGCTGAATATGCTCGCCATGTTTTCACCATCACATAATTCCTGAAAAAATACCCACTTGCAAGTCATTTCGTACAACACAGCAGGTGAATATATTCTATAGGCTTTGCAACAGAGATACAAAACGTGCTGCAACATGTGATAGGAAATGCTGTTTCTCCCATGCTGCATTCCAATAAATGCAGCCATGGTCCTATGCATGTGGGTCATGTTGCATGCACTCCCCGGTCACCACAATGCATCACATGAAAACACCCAATACCAAATGTGTGCAGATGTGGGAGTCCACACTGACCTGCAAGGGCATACACAGAACGACAGGTAGTGCATGTTCTTGCAGGCTATGCACTGGAATGGCTCCCCATCCCAGGCCTTCTGAACCTGAAATTCTAGGAAGCCCGCATTGCGGACTGGTTCCCGTTGTGCCAGCTCCCTTTCAACCAATGCATGGAACTCCCTGTACAGAATGAGGCGGTCATCTGCTGGTACATCCACAGACGATTTGTGTGGGCGGGGAGCTGCCTTGTCTGCAGACACAAGGGCGTCTTGACACAAGTCCCTGCATCGCAACAGAAACGAATTCAAGCGCTGGCCACACAACAGTCACAGGCTCTGTGCATGGCTGAGTCCCAACAGTTCAGCTCCGAGCACCACTGCAACCCCAGAGTATAATGACTAATACCCCAGGGGTATCACAGGGATATACTGGGAATATATGTCCGCCTTCATAGTGTATCTTCAAAATCATCAGGTTTTGCTGGTCTCACAATCAGGCCCTGTGTCTTGGGGTACTGGCAATAGCTCAGCCAATCGCAAGCCGCACAGCGTGGGCACTGCGACTGCAGTTCACTCTACCCTGCACAACACAGCGCTGTGGCTCTCACCATAGAAGCTGGTCATGAGAAAAGTTTGGCGACCGCCCCGAGCAACCATTCCGATATGAGGTAACTGCCTTGTGGCCAATAGGAAGCCAGTCCATCAGAGCAAAATTGACGGCCTCAGCACAGTTCCAGCCGTGGCTGAATCCCGAATGGTATGCACGTGGGAAAGATACCACCAGCTGGCCGGGCTTCTGGATGATCTTCTTGACAGGGACACCTTGCGACAATAGGTATGATGGAGAAACCATCATGACGAGCTGGTGCAGCAGGTCTGGGTCCTTCTTGAACCTCTGGGGAAATGTTTTTCTCACCACATCTTCAAACTTCCTTGCATATGGCTCAGATATCCCATACCTGCGCACAGGAGCACACAAGACTGCATCTACTTGCCAGCACTTTAATCAGCACCCAAAAACATCTGAACGTCCGTTGTGCAAGCTCATGACCAAGGCCTCTGGACCTCTCACTGAGACTTGTCCAAGGAAGCCACCGGTAGAGCACTTCATCAGTCAGAGGCTTCAATGTACCATCAAGTTTCAGCAAACGAAACGCCACACATCACACTGCCTCTGCACCAGCATTTTCCTGCACTCATGTGCTCTCCCATGAGAGTATAGCACAAGCAAAAAACGTTGTCCCCAATACAGATAAAACTGTCAGAACCTGCCAAACTGCTGCCGTACAGTAGCACTAGCAATCAGGTCTCTGCAGGAAAGAAGGCAGAGATCTGGCATCCACTTCATCGCGGCGCTTGCGTACTCTGGCTCACTAGCACAGTGGGCCACAATCCCTGTTGCTTCTTTACCATGTCTTGTCAGCGCCTTTGTGCAAGTAGTTGGCTGAATACAAGAAGTGGTCCTCTATATGCCAGCAGAACGTCGTGAACAGGGCCCCAAAATAGAGCCAGGGGCTGGTGACGCCAGCGATGCGAGTCCCCACTCTTTTCTGGATGTTCAGAGGATGATGCCCCAAGGAGGACAAGTCCCATGGCCTGTTGGTGCTACTGCATTTGAAAGGCGTTCCAAATCTGTGCAACATAGGGACACTGTGAAATGCACGGCATACAGATAAACAGCACCTAGCTCGGATCGCAGGATTTCAATTTTGGATCTCTGAAAGAAGCTAAGTACAGCAGAATGTTCACACAGTGCACAGTACTCCGTGGGCAGATTCTGCTGACAATACAACATGTAAGGTCTGGTGCAGATCTCACTGTGCAAGAATTTCATTGTTTACATGGAGAACATGGCCAACCACTGTCAAGCAGCTATTGACTGCGCACTAGTGGTTCAACCAGGTTCAGTGCTTGTGATTTAGCCATGTTGGCCAGGTCAACAATGCAGTCCCAGCGTTGAATAGCGCCACTGCAGCCAGGACATTACAATCTACCAACAGGAACAAAACTGTGAATTGTGCTCAAATCAACTCCACAGAGCGATCCACCATAGTTACTCCACATAGCATGCTACAGTGCCTTCCCAGAGTATGCCCAGTGATATTTGCCATTGGAAGCTACACTTGCACGAAATGCGGCTCACTTTTTGGTGTCCAAGTTGTTGGCGTAGTCTACTAGCACCTCTTCCTCTGATGCTCTCTCCACTATTCTCCTGCAGCATGGCAAGCACGGGACTGTCAGCAAAACTCCACACCACTCCTCTAAATTTCTGGGGCAAGCCAACCAGATGACACACGCACCAATACTCGTCTTCGAGTGTGGAGGCCACAGATGCCTCTTCCCCTCTTGCTTGTGCCTCTTCAAGCTGGGCAACAAGAAACATACTGCTGGAACTCAAGCTTGCAATCCTTTCAACTTGCCTTCGACAAGACAAAAAACGATGAAGGCAGTGAACAAGTCCAGACGTGACTTAAAACTGGGAATGAGAAGCTCCCGTCGCAATACAAAAGACATTATTTGGTGAAGGGTAGGAAATCTACAGCTGCTGCAATAGCATATTTTAGCAGCCCAAGTGTCATATTACCTGCCGTGTGACATCAGGGTGGCTTGCAAGCCATTCTGACCTGTGGTCCTCTGCATACTTCTTGTAAGAACTCTGGTCGTACATCCCACCCTGGAAGCAAAATCCAAAAAACACGTCAGGAACTTCATTGAAAGGAGTTTAGGTATTGACTGTCATGAGGGGGCCAATCTGAGGGTGTTTCACTCTGCTGCCCTCTCTGCTAGCAATGCAGAACTGCCAATGATCAGCATACCACCATCAACCAGCCAGATCATCACAGCTGTCCATTCATCTACCCACCGTTCCAAATGCTGCGCCTTCCTGCAGATGATGCAGTGCTTGCTTGAAGGTTTCAAACTCTTTTGTGATTTCCAGGTTAAAGTTGGGCTTCCATTCTGTACAAAAGAGAACGGCGACGATGGTGAGTCCACCAGCGTTTCTCGCACGTGAGAATAGCAACAGGATGGAATTGCTACAGAAGCCCAACAGCTCAGGTTTCGATTCCAAGAGCTTGGCCCTGTACACAAGATAGCAGGAATGCCTGCTGAGGATTCGGTAGTGCCAAGTCTAAAACTTGATTGGAGCTGTCACTATCTGCTCAACAAACTTGGGCAAGGGTGCAACTGCAAGCCTGAGTAGTGCGTTATTGGCCTGCATGTGTTGCAGACACGGCATTCAGGGTACAGGCCTCCTGGGTGTCAGGGTCCAGAGTTCCTTGGGTCAGACAACAGTGCAATTACACTTCAGCAGACCTCATTAGGGCATACCAGCGGTCGTCAAACACCAAACACCAGGTGATATACATATCTGGGGCTCATCGAGCTCCATTTAAACACATCGCTCTGGAGTGAGTAGGAAGCTTAAGGGCCAGGTCGGAACGCTCCGCAAATTTAGTCTAGCTCATTGTTATCTTGTGCAAGTTCATGAATTGGGCAGCATCTTTGACAGGTCACAGTCAACACCTCATTAATTAAGATCCTAAAGCTTATTAAAAAATTGGTTGTCCACATGCTGGACCAGGAGAAGGATAAGCCAATAGCAGCTAGAATTTTTAGAACCGTCAAGGGAAGCTGCACAGGGGTGGTATTGTGTCAATTTCTGGCAAACAATGCAGCTCAAAAAATGCCGAAACCCTTGTAGTCATGGGAATACAACACACAATTACAGTGGGGCTTTCAGTAACCTTTTTTCTGAGAGCACAACAAAAGCCAGGTCAGCAGAAATGGAAGCCAGAAATACCCTTAGCAGATTGAGAGCTAGGAAGACAGCCATGTGCACAAAGGCCAAAGTTGCAAAAGCAGCACTGAAAAATGGGTCCAACGTGACAATGGCAAGCAGGTTTCCAAGAAAACTACTCACTTTCTGGTAGTACTATCTTCACTATCCCTTCCTTAGCATACTCTGGAGCTATTCTCTTAATGTATGCACAGAAGTCCCTGAACTCTTCCTCAGTAGGAGACAGGGTGGCTGCCTCAGGAATGTCCCTCACGACCCGCTGCTGCTGCTGCAGAGAGATTCTAATTGCCTGCAAGCAGCCACACCCACACAGGCAATGGAACACACTGACAAATGGGGTCATATTGGTCCATGGCTGAGGGAAATGGCCCAGTACATACTGTGGTGCTGATATTAGACCCTGCTAGCATCGCCTGTTGCATGTGAACACAGGCCCCAGCAGTCCCATTTGCGATGGCAGATGTCACTTCAGCTGTTGAATGCTCAACTGCAGGCACCTCTATGGGAGAGTATCAGAAGCAGTGCTACTTTACTGGCATTGATCACTCTGTTGTCGGTTTTTCGTGGAGCAATTAGCCATGAGAGTCCATCAAGGGAGGCTTGCCCTGCCATGGTTCTCATGCAATTGACGGACTGGCACACCGTTATCATGTGTCGTTTCGGGTCGCCCTTGCCATCATGCTGCCTTGCCGTGGTGAAAACCGATCGGGGATGGAACACACTCGCAGTGTCCTTCCTCGTTCAGACACAGCATTATCTGAAGTATTGCGTGCACTGGCACGGCCCAAGCACTAGTGTACGTGTGAGGCCAGCCGGCCCGCCACAACCCTCGCCCCGGTGGCTCTCCACGCACCCCAGACGCACCCAGGCAGCGCCACGTGTACCCACAGCTCCCCTGAACCCGAGGGGCGCAGCGGCGAGTGTCGCCACCCCCCAGCCACGGCCACCCCGGCAGCCGCTGCGACCAAGGCCAAAGGCGTCTTGCGGAGCGGCCACCGCGGGAAGTACCGCAACCCCACCCCCGGCCGTTCTCCTCCTGTACTACGTCTGTGTCGTCTCCCCACCCCTGCAGGTCTCACACACACGCCATCCCCTCCTCCCTTTTCGCCGTCTCCCCCACACCTGTTGGACGGCCGCCTGGTCCCCCCCGGAGTCCAGGCGCGGAGGAGGCCGCCGTGACCTGGAGCTGCGCCTCGTCGACATACCCGCGCCGGTCCGCAGCCTGTGGCGGACGGCACAGTCAGGGACACTCCCCCAGACGGCCTCTGGGTGGCGTGGCGAGGATTTCGGTGACTGCGCCCCTGCGGGTGTGCGGGACCCCGTGCCGATTTCAAGGTGGGTGGAGGGGGCGAAGATCGGTGGGCATGCTGGCCTCCTGCCCAGGAGTACGCCGGATGTCGATCTTCGCTGCGTCAGGTTGCTTGAAACGCCTGCATGTTGCTGGATTTCGCAGGATGCGTCGTACACAGGCGACCATGGGTGCCAGGTTGTCGCATGACGACCCCGACGCTTGACCAGCGCCAGTTTCAGTGGCCTGGATTTGCGCACTATTGCTCAAAATGCTGGGTCCATGTTTGGAGGGTGAGAACAGGGATCGCTTGTGTTTGGCGCGCGGAGAGCACGGATGGTGGCAATTGACGACTACGGCCAGTACGGGACGTCACCTCAGTCGACGCGCCGTTTTCTTGCTGCACCTCTCACGGCTAACGGCGCAGGGATTCAGCTGGGTCAAAGAACGCCGCTCCTCCAGGCAGCGAGCAAGATACACTGGGAGACGGCAGGCAAAGTCTGTTGACTGCGTGCTCAATCTTTGCAGGCTACCGTTGCAGCGCATTGAAGTGGTAGTGTCCTGGGACAGAAATACGAATGAACCACAAGACAACATGGGGAAACGTTGTTTATCCGACAACATGGAGCAGCAATTGCGTCAAATTAATCGCGGGGTGATACATAATGTATCACTTATAACTTCGAGCTTGTTCAAAAGCGCGGGCTGGCGGTGACAGAGAGGTCGTTCGTGTCCATGGGTATGATAATGTGGACCATTCTCTTCCTCCTCACCAGCAACATTTAGCTTGGTGGATTGGCCGTGGTGGCAGTGAAGCACGGACTGATGAGCTGTGGGGCAAACTCAGACTACGAGGCACCCCGCATTTCAATGTGGGTGAATCCGCTCTGTTTTACAACCTGACGCCACGCTACGCGCCTGTCACGGCAACAGCCAGGGCCCATGATGTGTTCGGAGTGTTGGGGCTGCTTGGCAGTGGGGCTGCGTTCCACATTACTTCCTCATGGTCAATCTCTAGCAATCAGCACTGTTCACCTGCAAACGAGACGGTTGGCGTCGAACTGAAGAAACCAACTTCGCATATGCTGTGCAGGACTCGCAACGATTGCTCACTACTCGCAAGACTGCTCTGCGCTGGTCTGTGTCCGGGGTGGGTCTGCAAAGGACGAGACCGCCGCAGTGGACCGCCAAATGCGCCGATCCAACCATGTGAAACGCAAACCCAGTGAACAGATTCTCAGTTAGAAAACTCCTCATACCAGCCTTACAATGTAAGTCGCGAGTGTATGGACCTGTATCCGCACTATTGTACAGTCAGCCGAGGCAAGAAAGAATAATGAATGCAGGACAAAAAATCTAGCCACCCGTGCGTCACAGAATCAAAACCCAAATTCTCAAAACATTCAGCGAATGGGCCGAGCCTATCCTGGCATATCGATGTTCTGCTCTCCACGGAAGGCCGCATGCTGGCATGTGGGGTCCCAGAACTGCAGCTGGTCGTGCATTCTATGTTGGTCGCGTCCACACAGATTCTCACTGCAGTCAGCTGGCCAACAGTAGAACACGGCGATCCCAGGCAGCCGTTCAGCGAACAATCGCCATGCCTGTGCAATCGTCGCTCCCAGCAGCTCAAAAGGATTCTAAGCATCAACAAAGCTCACAATACAGCCCCCCCAAGCTCTTCCAAAAGGGTGAAAGCGGCGGGTCCCGATTCCCGTGGAGTTGACACCAGTCGGAAGAATGAGAATGATGGATTCATTGTGCAGGATATAGTGCATCCAGCTCATGCACCAAGTCAACAATCACCCAGAACCAAAAATCGTCCCACCAAAATTGACAATGGCATATCCATGGCTTTCAAACCTGGCTTTCAACTTGACGTGCTCTGTCACTTTCATTGTCCGCAAAATTCGAGAATTTGTGCCTTTTGCTCTGATAGGGTAGCCAGCAATGGTGCAATGTGCCCTAGCACATGCACCACAACTCACCAGCTGTTATATACCACATCCGTGTGTGGTAACAAGTCTCCAGCACAAACATGGCCACAATGCTCCGCTCAATCAACTTGTTTCTGCATGACAAGATAGGGCACCATTGAGCACACCTGAAATTTGCACAATGCTGAGAAGTTCAACACACACAAACATGGAAGGAGGCAGCATTCGGGGCAGCTCTGACATCGGCACATACTTTTGAGACAGGGGTGGCACAATTTGCAATGACTAGCACCACATTCTCCACTCACAGTCAGCCCAGGAAAGCACTTACCCCGTCTACGGCTCCACTTAGTTCCGTCTTTACAAATTGGCCCCGCACTCTGGGACGCTGCTCAGCCAGTTTTTTGCGGCTTTCATATCGAACCTGCGCAGGCAAAGAAAATGGTAACTGTGAACACCTGAATAGCCAAGCCAGACAAGGGAACACAAATCTGCCCCTTGGCACACAAAAAGCAGGGAGCAATACCTTTTTGGCAAAGCTTCTGTGTTTCCGCTTTTCCCTGAACTTTGCCACAGCTGCAAGCCGCCTGGCCTCTGCGCTGTTGTTGCTGTTTGGTGGATGGTGGCGACCCTGGATTGGCACAGTTTGGCTTAGAGAGCAATAACATGTTCACATCTATTTTCATGGTGCTGAGGCCACGATCAGTTTGATCAGTTTGTTCAATGCAACACAAATTGGCAGCGGCAGTATTCATGCCAAAACAAAGCCGCCCCTACACAGAGTTTGCAATCTGCTCTTTATAAAACTTGTCCAACAAGAAACACAGATTGCCAATGAGGGTATACTCACCATCGTTTTTCCTTGATGCAGAGCCAGATTCTGCTGCATACCAAGCAACGCACTCAACATTGAACTGTCTGCAACACTGGCTTGGATGCCTTCAAGGTTGTGGATGCCTCCTTCTCGATCATAAAGAAGGCCTCTCTGTGCGTCGTTGGCCTTCTTCGTGCCCCCACAGTTCCCATTCACCTGTGCAGGCAGACAGGTTACGCTATGTGCCAAGTTCCTTGCCATCTCCCCTCTGGACGCATCACCAGTGGCTATCCTAGCATGAGGACTCCCAGGAGCCTGCAGGTGGGAAGTGCCTGGATGCAAGAACTCGCAAGGAACGTTCACATACTGCCTGGCACCATCCTCCCATTCTGGTCCATGTGCTGACAGGCCTACATGGCCCTCTAGGCCGCTGTTGGGCAGGTCATACGTCGCACTCCCTGCCCTGGGACTGACTGTGGTGAATGCTGAATGGTCCCTCGAGTACTGCAGGGGGCTGTTGAAGGCCGGCGAGCTCCCACTGGCACTGGAATGCAGCCGCTCCTGCAGGTCTCCAATGGCCACGATCTCCTGCAGAGCGGGAGGCAGGAAGCTCGTCCCGCACGAAGAATAGCGAGTCCCTTGTGGAGGCAGCCTCTGTTCTGGGTGGGGCCTGGACAGGGCCTCAGAGAGCCACAGCAAGGCGCTGGATCTCCCGTCCTGAAGGCCGCATGACGAGCTGTTTGTCAACATCGACTGCTGCTGCGGTTGGGAGTCGGAGCTGTACCTCTCCCGCGTGTAGCGCGTCAGGTTGGACATGGACCCGTCGGAGTAGCCGTTCTGTGAGGCCAACGCTCGGAGCGCCGCTGTGGCGCCCAGCTGCGTCGACTCAGGCCGGCAGCCTCGTGCTGCACCGACTGCAGCCGAAGTGTGCTGCCGCGCTAAGTGCCCATTGGTGCCCATCCTGCACCTCCCACCTGCAAAGCCATTGGCCGTGCACCGAGCAGCCACGCGACCGGGCGTCGCATTGCGCTGCGCTGGTGCGCGCTTCTTGCCCTTCTCTGGGACGTCCGCTTTCCTTCTCGCCTTGGCATCGCCGGCAGCGGCGCGGGGTGACGCCCTCGAGCGCCTGTTCCACACCTGCTTGGAGCGCCAGATGTGCTGCCACAACGTCGCCAGCTCGTTGCGGCGAACCGGCTTGATCAGGTAGTCCGACGCGCCCGCCTGCAGCGCCTCGACGATCGCCTCTTGCTTGTCCTCCACCGACATCACTGTCAGGGCAGGCGGCAGGGCGACAAACCTCAGGAAACGCCAGCGCAACCGGGGTGCGGCCAAAGCAAGCGTCGGCGGTGCTAGGGCTTTATGGGGCGGGCGGGCTCTGCGCCAGAGCGGACACGCACCTATGACTGGGACGCGGTTGCGCGCGTCCAGTCGCAGTACTTCTCGCAGCATCTCGCCAGACTCCACCTGGACACAGGAAGCCGTTTTCAGACGCACTGGCGCGGGCTCGCAGCGAAGACCGCAGGGCAACGTATCAGGCACTCCGTCCTCACCTCAGGCATGGAGGCGTCCGCCAACACGAGATCTATTTCTTCGCCGTTCCGCAGCTGTCGGAGGGCCTCCTTTCCGCCAGATGCGCTCACCACTGATGCGAAACGGGAGATGAACTCAGGCGCAGCGGCCCGGTCGACGAGCCTCCGCGCCTGGAGACCGGCAGCCCGATGTGCGCCAGGGGGGCGGACAGCAGCGCGCCCGAACCTTTGTACTTGCACTGGCGCAGCATTCTCTCCACGACGCGCTTCGTGCATTCGTCCTCCTCCACGAGCAAAACCCGAAAGTCTCCGTTGACCTCAAAGTCGCGGCGCCGCGCGCAGCACGGCCCCAGACGGCTCCCGTCCGGGGGCGACCCGCTTCCGGCACCCGCCTCCATCTCCAACACCCTCCTCCCAACCAAGCGTGCACTCAGGGCCTAAGATACAGGCCCCGCTGCTCGCACGCCATTTGGGCCCGGATACTGCAGATCTGCAGGGACACGGGGGCCCACGCGGCGCCAGCAGTGGGTCCAAAGGTGGTTCTGCAATGCTTCTTGTGGCCACAGATGCGGGAAAGCGTCCCTGGGGGCACATGCCCCGCCACGTCACGCACCCCGACGGAATCATGGGGCCCAGGTTGCTCTGTTGGGCTTTGGCGTCGACAGTGCTCACTTGAGCACACCTGGGCCACACGATCGCCGCGGCCCTGGAAGTGGAAGTATCTCTGACTGCGACATCGGGCGGGTTAGAGCATCTTTATCGGTCGGCGCTATTGTTCCGGCGGAGCTATTCAGGAACGGTTCTCATTGGCTGCCGTGCCACCTTACTAAGGTGGCATTTGCCAAATAGCGCCGGTGCTATTGGGGAGCAATAGCACCGGGCGTGCATCCGTAACGGGGGGTGCTATTTGCAAGGAAACTCCCACACGCCCTCAGCCACACAAACCCACACAGCCTTGCTGTCCTAGCAAACACAAACACCCTTGTTGCTCGCCGACCCATGACGGTCGCCAAGCGTTGACCAAGTGTTGACCTGAGCCGTGAGCCACCTACACTTGGCGAACAAAGAGAATGGGGCGTGGCGACAAGTGGATCCCGGCCGACGATCAACTGGATCCACCCTTCGAGATCCACGTCGAAGCCGTTCCCATCCATGGTTCGGCTGTCCCAAGGCCCCTCCGCTGTCCCAAGGCCCCTCCGCGTTGTTCCAAGTGGCTGCCGCCAAGTGCTGCGCGAATAGAACCGGTGCTATTCTGGGGAGCTATTCGGTCTCGAGCGGAGCTATTCTGGCCCCGAATAGCTCCGCTGGGCGCCGAATAGCTCCGGGGGAGCTATTGGGGAGTTATTGCTCCCCAACCGTTAATGATGGTTTTTTGACGTGCGGAGCTATTCGGATAGCCGAATAGCTCCGCCGCAACAATAGCACCGACCGATAAAGATGCTCTTAGCGGCGCATCCAGTTTTGCCGGAGTCACCAAGCTGCCAGTGCGCAAGGCCTTTGCTATTGTGGCGATTTTTTAAGTACTGCAACGACATCCTTGAGAGACGCACGAATGTCATATGAGCACAGAAAGCACGATGGAGGTTCGCTTGTCACCAGTTTGGGGTGATACGACAACTTACATGCGGATCCTTAGTCCCGAAGCAACAAGAAACACAATGACATTGTACACATTCACTAGGCAACCACGGAACATGCACAACAACCACACCGATGTCACATAATGCTAGTTACACCATGTCCAGCTACAACACCATCCCCCTCCGTACAACCCAGACCGCAAAAGGAACAAAAACAAAATAGTCAAATGCATGCCTTCAAGGACCAGCAGACATGGCAGCGGATCCCCTAGAATTTTCCCTCATAACACCTTATGCAATCACACATATTGAATCAAGAAGGATCAATATATCAAGTTCTTTCAACCGCGTTGTAGGGAATGGACACTACATGGTATTTTGACAGGTAATTGGATGACTTATATGTCTTAGACAAATTTATTTGAGTCTAGAAATGTGTTAATCATGATCGTAACATTCATCTAGTTGAATGGGCCAATTTTTGGTATTGTCGTGGCCCCATCGGCAGCTGCTAGTTTCCGGAGGTATTGGGGTCGCCCTGCCCTGCAGCTCGGCTGTTGGAGGTTAGCTGGCCCTCTCCACCTTGGATGGTAGGCGTATCCGGGGCAGTCGACTCAACGGTCACGCGGTGGGCCCAATGCTCGATAGGGATCGATCCCCGGGGTCTGCTATCAGCGAGAGGTGGTGGCGGAGCAGTGACAACAGTTTACTGGCTCGCGGGAGACCAAGCAGTGGGCCACGACTGCAGTTAGAGGATTCACAGCATGCGCGCGCACTTATCGCATGCGTGATGCCCGATCGCGGGTCCATTTGCGGTCACATCACTACAAGGCAATACACGTGCATGTCCGGGCATCACGTCACCGTCCCCCATTCACCCACGTCTGACCCGTTTTCTTCTAGACTCAAGTACTAGCCCTTCTCCCTCTACTCCCCTGAGTACTATGATTTCAGAGGGCCATATCTTCATCAATTGTTCACATATTTGGGTGTTTCAACAGCCTAGGCGCAGCAGGAGCTCTTAAATAAGCCCACTAAAGGGCTCGATTTATAGATATTACTGATTTACACTCTAAAATATGTCAATTAATTAAGGAGCTCCGTACACTCCCAGCTTGGCTCATATTGTCTTAACTTCTTCTTGACTACTCTTTTGGCACAATCTCTGATTGATGTCTCCCTAACGTCCTTGCTCTCCTGACATCCTTGACGTCAGTCTCTCTTTTGGCCCGCCCTCACGGCTGGCCACTAGACGTGGCCACTCAGCTTTTTTCCTGTTATTTTATTTCTGTACTTTTTTTGAGCACAAACAATCCGTCTATCGATTTTCCGTTACTTTGCCGGGGCCGGGTTTTTGTAGCCATTCATGCCATATCAGCTTTCAATTTTTTGGCTCTGGAGCTATCCGTCAAGGGGGTGTTTGCAGCCACCGGTTTTTGTAAAAGTGCTTTTTTTCTGTTGCCTTTCCTGGCATTCCGTTGCCATCCGTCAAGGACTTGGAGATTCCGGTAGTATTCCGTTGGTCAGTGGTGGTTTCTGTTGGAAGCAATTTTTCCAAGCGGATTTTTTCTCTGTGTCCAACAACCTTTGCCTCTACATATGGGCCACAACAATGATATAACGAGGTGCAATATTAATACATGTATAAACAACGCATGTCTACCTATTTGCAGTCCATGCCATCATAAATACTGCCTCGGTCGGTACTCCTTGCCAGACCAGGGACGCAACCCGTTGTTCTTTCCCGGCCATCCCTTGCTAACGCTAGACTACATTTATTAACACAGCCTACTATAAACGAGGCATCTGACCATCCGGTCTGGGAACGGGACCCGCTCTATGGTGGTTATCCATCACCTTTGCCAAAGCACATTGTACTTTGTACTTAGTACAGGTGTCCGTACTTGCTCCATGAACTTTGATGGAATTCTGTCGACCTCTTTAGTTCGGTCAATGGTTCCGTTATGGGGGCCTGTCATCCGTCGGCTGCGGCACAAATTCTGTAACCCGTGGTTTTATTCTAGAAGGCTGTGTGGATTTTTGTAGCCATCTATGCTAACGTCAGCATAGCCCTGCCCATTTCTGTAAAACACTTTTTCTCTTTGTGGCCCGCTCACAAATTCTGTTGACTATACGGAATTTTACAGAGCCAACCAAATTCTGTTGTGGACGGACAGAGGGGGCCACCTCTACTGGCCACTCGGTTGACGTCTTCTGGATGTCCAGCCCTTCAACGCCCTTGGGGCAACTTCCCAGCCAGTGTTCTCCGACACCTGGCTCCTTCCTTCTTCAGGTTCGCCCTTGGAGCAGGCCGCGCAGCTCACGTCTTCGGACGCCCTGCGATTCTCGCCCCTGGGGCTGGCCATGCCGCTGATGCTTTTCCCGGCATCCAGCAGTTTTCTAACTCCGCTCCTTGGAGCTCCAAACGCAGCTGACGTCCTCGTGATGTCCTGCCATTTGAAATGCGAGTTGCACCCTCCCGTCCCATTCCTTGGGGGTTCGCCGCCTCCTGGCCATGGGTCAGGTCGTCTCAAAGCGCCGCTTTGCCGTCAGTAGTTTTGCTAGCTTTGAAACCACTTGTAAGGGGTGGGAGCCCCTTTTTAGGTGGACGGGACACGGCTTGTATTCCCCGTTCGAATCGGGGACCGGTTGGCAGCGTGCTCAGTGCAGCTTTTTATTACAGAAGTATTTCTGTGTCCCCGTATTTATACCCGCCTCCCAAGGCATCCCAAGGGTCATGCCAAAAATAGGGTGAGTCACTCTATTTCTGGCATACCCGCCAGGTTCGTATTTTGAACTCCCGTCCCTTGTCGGTTCGTCTCACTGACCCATTGGTTTCTAATACTACCCCCCACCATATTGACCAACACGGCACCTTCCCCCTTCATTTATTTTATCCACACCCAGTCTAGTCGCCCTCGGTAAACCCTATTGTATAGCGTTTCCAAAGAGTTCTTAATATACGATGTCCCGCGCCTATAATATACAATGCCCCGTGACCTTAATATACAATGTTCCGGGTCCAGCCCTTATACTATCCATCTCCATTGACTTCAAGGTGTGATAATGGTTTTGCAATATATAATGATTTCCTGCAACCATTTTGTTAAAGTTTGCTTGTCCTCATTTGACTTTGGGGGCTTAACGCCTTGAATATTTATCTTAGGCATGCTCACCTGCAGCTCCCTCTCGAGATGCATATAAACAGAAAGATATGGCACCTCCTGTACTACCATCAGGTGCTCCTGACCCAACCCCAGGTAGCCTAGACCCATGGGGTCATAGTCAGCTGGTGGCGGTGGTGGTCCATCCATTATTATATGGGGTCTTGTTGCCACAGAAGCAACGTATTCCTGGTGGGGTGCTACAGGTGCCTGCATGTAGGTCAGTCCCTCTTGGATCCCAAACAGCGATTCCTTCTGCTCTGGTTCTAATAATTGCTGGAATATACTGGGATCGCTGAACTATTAGGATAGACCTATTGGTTGCACTGATGCCATCATGGGTTGCTCTTGGCCATATCCTAGTCGCGATAGTCCAAATTGTGGTGGCATTGGCTTTGGTGCAACTAGCTGCTAAGTAGCGGTCTTGTTAGTAATGGGGGCTGTTGTTGCGCCGACTAAATAGGCGGATACTGCAGTGCCACCATAGGCTGCTGGGCCTAAAAAGGCTGCTAAAACTGCTATCCTGGTAGTGCTGGTGGTTGTTGGGGCTGCCCAGGGAAGACTTGTTGCTGTTATTGAACTGGACCAAATGGCAACAAAGCCTGCAACCTCTCAATCTTCTGTTGTATTGTATGAGGTTGCAACTGCGTTGGT